ATTTATGTAGTCTTAAGATAACTTTTTCCTCAAGTATCTCGAAAACTAAAGGAGTCCGACTATTACATGTATAACAAGAAGTTATTAAGAATGATGACGTTAACAACATATTTCAAAGTGATCGAAATCGGAGGCTAAATATTTATCCACGAAATAAGAACGGTAAAAATAACATTCGCGAGATTATAGACGATTATTATTAATGAGTGTTTCTAATATATGATACATAAACTATTTAACGAAGAAAAGATTTGTAAATGAACGAGAGTAGAAAAGTACCGGGACAAGAATAACTTTTTACACTTATAGGCTACTTATCAGTTATCTGTTAAAGGCATAGGAACTAAAATTAGAAATTCTTCGACTCTTCTACTTTTTATATCTATCCATGATAAATTATTTCCTTATCAGGTTTTCACGAGGTATTTACTTTTCCTTTTTTCGTTCTCGAGATATTCACGAAAAGTTCTAGTTAAATTTTACGTTGCAATGAAATTATGTGTTGGCTATTTGTGCTATATAGAACAACTTAATCTAGCGTGACCCGTGCGGGTATCAGTCGGAGATAGTGCGATGCGTTTTATTCATTCTTAGAAATTTCATACACATCAGTTATCGATACCTCTCGAGTGACGTAGACGAGGCTTTGAAAAGAGTGTACAATTTTATGAATGTTAGCTGCATCTCATGCAAAATACAAATGGTATATTTATACGAACTATTGTGAGAACTATCGAAGCAACATTTACAAATCGTGAAGAAGCAAATTTAAAAAATAATCACTACATAGTATAAGAGAATTCATATTTATTCATATTGCTTTCATGAAATCAAGCATCAATGCCGGTGATATGTTTAATGATGCACATATGGGCTTTAGATCACTCGACTAAATTTAATTAATGATTTATTAGTGAGTCAAACACGTATCACTTTCTGTTTAACGTATTACCAACATAACTCATGTGATCTATGAACTGCGAGTCTTACGGATTGCATCATTTACATTGACAGTAAAGACTCCAACATATGACAACATGCATTAATTCGCTGTTTATTCATTATCGTAGACGTACTAATAAAACTTCGCTTCTCAAGTAAATTTCATTTACTATACAATTTAATAGTATGCAATAGAAATATTTAAAAAATGCTATACATTAAATTTGTTGACAAAATAGATTGCTCCACCATCGTTACAAGCGATACAGAAAGTGTATACTATAATTGTATACACTTTGTATTACATAATAGACACATTATGTGTATTTGTCTACGTTATATATAATGTATAAGTGCAAGTAAATAGATATAATGTATTTGTAAGTAAAAATAGTTTCAACAATATATACGTGTAGGCGCAGCTGATGATGCATGGTGTTCGGGCATTGTTCAGCCTTGACGCATTTTTGTTTTTACGCAAGTCGAACGGGCAACCACGAAACAGTCGCCATTATATCATTATACATATGTATAATAAAAATGTTTGGATACTGTATTCTTGTTTCGTTTCGATTCCCGTCCCATTACCGATCCCCATCCTAACAGTTCAAAGGTAGGGTTTGCGTAGTAGTTATATATGGAATTTTTTTGAGAAACAAGTCAGGAGATTTCGTTGTGCCACGATTGCTCGAATTTATTTTTATATTTCAGTTGCTGAGAACATTTCGTGATTTTTGGAACTTTTGCGCGGTCAAGCTGATAGGAGAATAATAAACGGTGTTTTCGTACTTCGATAATTCATGTAAGTTATAATCGGTTAAAAAAGGTACTGTGTCGAGGAGCACGCTCAACGATTTCGTGAACGTTGAACTGAAGGGCTTGATACCTACGCAAATATCGACCGAGAGTCGTCCATCGAAGACGCTCTCTCTATTCCGTCAATAACCTTTTTCTCTTCTTTCCTCTTTTATTGTTGCGTAAAAGAAATGTGTTTATACACATCCACTTCCGAATAGTGTAGGATTTGACACTGTAGTAACACTTGCTGAATTGCTGAGCAACGTAATAACCTATGAGAACTCTCATTCCAAAAAGGAGCCGTGATGCTGATCCTCGAACTTGCTCAGTATTGGTTTTCTGATCTAGCTATTCATTTCTCGAGGATTCTACAGTCGTATCATCGTTACACAACAACTTTTGTCGATAAAGAATATTAAATAATAATAAATACAATAAAAAATTAATAGTATTGGTCAATTCTTACAAAAACTATTCAATAATATCAATGTTATTTCATAAAGTATCAGCAGTTGAGACTATAAAAGTGTTAATCAGTAGCACAACGCGGTCAGCATATTTGCCTAAAGAACCTTTGGGAGTACGTAAAAATGAAATCGCAAACTACCGACGGCATTCGAAGATATGTAGTATATACTATTTATCTAACTAATTAACTTAATCTAACAGCTGAAAGAGTTCGATCTTCCATCAAAATCAGATTAAGAAAGTGTGTTTTGACATTTATTTTGATAACATTTCGATAGGTATTAACATTAACCATTATCACTATTCACACTTTTTTATCGAAAGTTTTATGCTTTATCCAAATTAAAAAAGTAATATTAGATACACTGTTTAAGAAATGGAGGTGACGGTCTATCGATAAAGAAGCAAACTAAAATCAAACTAATATTAGCACTCTATGGGTTTCTGATAGTCATGTAACTTTTGCTTAACCCTTTCGCTTCGGCTGTCCAGTCCGCCGAAGTACTGTAACTGAACGGAAGCGCGTGCCGCGAATACGTGCAGTACGCGTTGTTGCTGTATACATATACGTTTTCCTGAGTCTTAAATGACTATTTTGCTGAATAAAGCAATCTTTGCTACAATATAATGAGTATAATTTAGATCTTTGATATAAAAACATTTATAACGTACAATTATAACTTCTATAACTTATAAACATTTATAACTTACAAAGCTACAGTATTTTACAATATTTACTATATTTACAATATTTTAATTATGAATTAATTATGATGTGCGAACAAGTTAATATATTAATGTGAAATGATTAATAGTATAAGCACGCTTAATTTTGTTAAGCGATACTCGTACCCACAGGTCATATTGTGTGCGCCGCTTATAAGCGGCGCTCGTACCCACAGGTCATATTGTGCGCGCCGCTTATAAGCGGCGCTCGAAGCGAAAGGGTTAAATACATTTTCTACTATGAATGATGTTCCACTTATTTTGAATCGTAATCTTCCTCTGCACTTATATTATTGTTTTACTTCTGCCACGCAGAATATATCGACATTCTAATGCTCTTGAACGAGTTATAATAATTTATAGGAAACTAAGAAATTGAGTGCAATAAAATTTGGTATAATAGCGAAAATACTTCCAAGCTCAATCTGTCTAAGTCCACATAATTCTGTTAATTTGACAGGTTTCGCGAGACTGCAGATAGAATCTATGTTTGTAGAACTTCCTTTATATACATGTGTAATTTATAGATATATGTAACACTAAAAGCTTTAAATCGATAAATTTATACAATTTCTTTAAACTTTACACGTTCTGCAGCTATGAATTTGTAATATTTCCTTAAACTTCGTAGATTTTATGATGCAAGAAAAATGATTAAAAATATATCATAAAATCTTTGATTATATTGATAGTATGGCGAGCTTATGAACGAACAGAATTATATAACAAAATTATGTATCATTAATTAATTAGAACTTTAACAAATGTATTTCCACATTCGATTGTGTCACTGTGAAACGTGTTTAAAGATGCGATGTACTTTTATGGTAATGTGTAATTATATCTATCTAAAAGTAACACATTTTACTATTATATTTTAATTAATTTAAACGTTTAAAATACGCATAAATGTTGTTACTATCGAAATTCCCGCTCAATCAATCATCACTGAGACTCATTTTAGCAGTAAGATATTTACATCAGCCTACTTGTGTTTTGTGTTATTACGTGTAAATTATGATTTTAAGAAAAATGCTACTGATCCTTACCTCAAAATTTCTACATAATATTCTATAATTTTTTGCATGTGAAGTAATATTTGATTGAAGTATATCAGTTATTTGAAGTTGTTATTTGAATGTGTTATTCTTCATGTGTAGCATATGAATTTTGATGTTACAGATACAGTTACATTTACTTCGGTATATTACAAATACAAATGTGGGTTTAAAACTATATTATAATAAGAGTATTAACGAAATTAAACTATTACATTTTATTAGCTTACCTCATCGATCTCATTCTGTCCAGATACACTAATGGACTAATTTTCCTTAGAACGCTGATTAAAATTATCGACGGGCTATTTGTATTTCTGGTTATATACGAATTTATATCTCTCGAGTAGCGATAAATAGAACTAGATACTAATAAATTTGAGATACTGATTTCGTGGTGATATGATTGTAAACGTATTTTTTAGCAAGTTGCCATGAAAAATAGTTATTAAGATATTAATGAGTGGGGGCAAGTGGCCCTCGAGATATCATGTACATCGCGCACCAAGGAATGAAACGTAATCATAGTTCGGATATATACATGAAACAATACTTACATGCATAAGTATAAAACGCTTTTAGTTTTGATTTTTCGCATTTTTCTCATTAAAATGAGATCGAACATTATACAGTTTGGACTATACAGTAATATCGCTCACATAGTCTTTTAGGTTAGTATTGAAATGGGACAATACCATTGTCTGGGAAAATACCAGAAATACCAGAATCGTAATTCAAATCCCGCAGCTGTTTTCATTGTTTGCTGAAAAAGACAGAGAGTAAAGAAGGCAAACGGAAACGAAGTCGAAAGATTAAAATCACAGGGTATCAGATGTTATACTAAAAACAATATTTAAACATTTTTGTACCTAACATTTCTGACTGAAAATGTTTTTAACATAGTGACGTTATTATGACGAAAATGAGATCAAACATAAATTTCGACCACTCGTTCTTATTAATACTTTATGAGCGTACAACTCATGTCAGACCTGAACTCTGAACTCGTCAGAATTCGAAAGTATCATTGATAGTTTTGAGCGCCGTCTCAATTAGAATCAAATTAGAATCAAACACGTAATCCAAAGATTTAAACTTATTTCTGGATAAGTCCAAGTATCGAAGATCTTGCATGAATTTACTCTGCAAACGGGGCAAATAACTTAAATCATTATCGTTCAGGTACAGTTTTTCTAACACTCGTAAAGAGTAAAATCCATCCGGGTCGATACGCGAAATTTTATTTCTAGCTAATGAAAGCGTTTTTAAATATGGCACATTGGAGAATGAACTTGCCGTTAAATTCGCTAAATTGTTGCAATTCAACCAAAGAGCTGTTATATTCAATGGTGTCGTGAACGGAATCGCTTCAAGTTTATTACCATTCAATAAAAGAACTTTTAAAGAGGTCAAGAGCGCAAATGTTTCAGAGTCCAAGACAGTTGGTGACAAGTGGTTATAGGAGAGGTCCAAATATCGAAGTTTAACCGTCTCATTAAATGCTAGTTTGTCAATCCAGGTAATCCTATTGTTTGCTACAGAAAGGTGTTTCAGATTGTTCAGACCCGTAAGATCAGGACTCTCCTCATGAAAATCATATACTGTGCTATACTGTGCTATATTTCGAATGTTGTTATTATCCATTGTCAGCGGCTCTAGATTCTTCAATGTACTGAGGGAGATGTCGTAAATATGATTATTATCAAGTTGTAAATACTTAAGTATGTTCGCCCATGCTCCTGTGAACGTGAACGAAGGGAATTTGTCGTATGAAATATCTAGATGTTCTAACATCGGAAAAGTATAATTATCGTAGTCCGTTATGCTGGTGATCTCATTGCTCCTTAAATTCAAGTATCGAAGCTCGGGATATGCAATAATCGTAATAATCGTAATAATTCCCTCTCTGATTACTGAGAATCCATACTTCGAGGTTCGCAATGCTGCCGAAAGAGAATAAATTAGAAAGAGAAATGTAATTCCCTTCAAGATTCAAATAAGTCAAATTTGGCACTCCGTCAAATGCAGCTCGTTCCATGTTTCTGATGTCGCCATATATAATGTATATGCATCTAATACTGCCAGATGCAATGAATTTTCGTGTCAGTATGTTATCGGAAATCCTCATTGTGAAGGTCTCGTTGTTACAGATTGCTGAATACTCCATATATGCTGCACCATACGCGATTAGCGACGAAAGAATTGTCGCTGTGTCGTGAGTGTCATCTTCGCGGTTGTAATGCTATAAAAAAAGAAAGTACATTTAGTTACTGATTAAGAAATCTACCTTCTGGAAGGGTAGGAATATCTGTGAAGATTTGCTTGTAAATTAATTACTCATAATTTTGATATTTTTGGCAAGGATAATAGGATCTCTACTTTATTGCTTTAAATGAGTTTTTCGATGTTGACCGAATTCGTTTTACTGTGTACCAATTTACCAATCATTAATTTAGATATTTAATACCATTAACCGACTTTAAAAATAAATGATTCTCAATTTAGTATGCAACATTGTTTAAAGGTGTTAGTATATTTTATACTAATTAGTCTATTTATATTTAGCAAATTTTTCCGAAGCTAAAGCAAATGTCGCAGAGATCAAACGACTAAAAAAGCAAGTATTTGTAGTTTCTGTCATACAACGTAAAATTTTAACTAAAAACATTTATGGAAAAAGGTAAAATTTCTACTTTTCAGATAAAATAATAAGAATCTACATTTGTGAAAGAAAAAGTGAAAAAGTTGAATTAATCAAAAGAACTAATTATACTAATTAAAATCTTGTATCCCTGTAATTAAGCAATATTCGTGGTTGTAGTGGTTTTTTATTATTATTTCAAATATTAAATATATGTTGATTTATTTATTTTCACCATTCAATAAAAGAATTAACATCGCAATACTTTATGTAATGGAAATATTTTATTTCTAACGAATTCATTTGATCAATTACAACGGACATCATCTGCTGAATTGATTTTAACACATGTAATTTTTCACTGACAACTTGCACGAGTCTGTTTTAAATCTTCTTATTTTTTCACAATTATCTTTTTGCAAGCAATCTTTTTGCTTTTTCTTTTTCTTCGACATTCTGAAAAATTCTGGTATAATGCAAAGGAAGTGATTAAAAGTATACTATAAAATTGAAGGTTATGTTCATATTATGTCAAGTTAAAGAACAAACAGAATTGTATTTCTGTATAGTTATTATTAACATAAATGCATACAGTATAGAACCTACTTCAACTCAATAAATATTTATAATACAATTAATTTAATAAGGTTGATTCGTTTAATAATTGAATTTCGCGAAACCGCGTTTATGTCCATTCTTATGTAAATAGTGTTATGTATCACATATTTGTAGAATACAGTACATAATTTCAATATTTGAACAAAATTAACAAGAAGTAAGAATAATTTAGATTCACTGTTATTTAATAAGTCTGCTACAACACTACTATTTAAAAAATCATGTAACAGTAATCAATTGGAACCGTAACAAACGCTTTCTCTCGCTTGGTTAAGTAATAATGAAACGAGTTCGCGTTGAATCTTCAAGTTTTGTGTAATAATTTTTCTGCATAGTAGAAATATTGAGTTGTACTAACTTATAATTATGTGTGTGTAGATGTCATGCATTTTTAATTTAAGCATTAAGACTTTGTTATTAACAAAATATTTGAGTGGATTCGGGACATTTACCGTAATTAAAAATTTTTAATTTTGATTTTTAAAAATAGATATCTAAGTAATTACTTGACAAAGTTACATGTAATTACTCATCCTTATCTATCGTTCTCGTGAGAGTTCAAAGTTCAATGATAGCAGAAAAAGGAACTTATTATGCTCTTAACCTTTCGCATATTTCATTTAGAAAGTAACAGACTTTATTTTGTTTCCTTTTCTACTTCGTGAGTTTCATTTTTATGAAGTTTGTAAATAGAATTCTAATTACGATTGCTCGAAGAATGACTTTATGTTTGTATTTTCTACAGTGTTTTATCACTTAATGAGTGATGAGTAGGCATTACAAATGAGATAGCGGTATCTGTTAACGAAATATTCACTTACAATTACTTTCGCGATAATCTGAAATTGAACGAATACCGTAAACATATTTGTTATACATATGGGTTTTTATTCAGTTGACATAAGAAATCATATCATTATCATTGAACGCATCGTTAACACATCCCGTGCCAAGCCCTTCTACCTGATTTATCGTTCAGGCTATTTCATATTTCGACTAATCAATGAAAAATCAAAGTTAACGATTACATGTATAATAGTTATTAATTATTGTAAACACATAGAATAGGCTATACTCAACTTACGAGAAAAAAACAGCGCGCGTAGACAATGTAGAGAAATTAAATAAATCTGAAATATGTTAGAAAATTCCCAGTGACCCACCCCAATAAAGCAGGGACGACGGGTACATGGCCGTCCTACGACGACCACCACGGGGTAGAGGCCTGACGCTACATATTATTTTGCAAAATATAACATATATATTAATATTAATATACGTATTATATTTTGCAAAAGTAAAACAGTCATAAATTTATACGTCTTTGAAAATGTCAAATTTCGTGCCTGAAAACGTGCAAAAAAAAAAAGCCGCTGAAAGTCATCGTTTGCTGATAGAAACTTACGATGAGCATGCTCTAACCATAAAAACATGTGAGACGTGGTTTCGAAAATTCAGAAGCGGTGATTTCGATGTGCAAGATAAAGAACGTTCTGGTAGACCGAAAAAGTTTGAAGATACGAAACTTCAGGAGTTATTGGATGAAGACCCAATCCAAACTCAAAAACAATTGACAAAAGCGTTAAATGTAGCCCAAGAGACGATTAGCGACCGATTACGAGCAATGGGAAAAATTCAAAAGATGGGAAGATGCGTGCCACATCAATTGAATGATAGACAAATCGCAAAGTCGTCTGTGAAATGTTGCTTCAAAGGTATAATAGGAAGTCATTTCTGCATAGAATAGTGACGGGTGATGAAAAGTGGACTCATTTTGAAAACCCTAAGCGTAAAAAATCATGGCTATCACTTGGCGAAGCCGCCTCACCCACGCCAAGGCCAAATCGTTTTGGTCGCATAACAATGCTCTGTGTTTGGTGGGACCAGAGTGGCGTGGTATATTATGAACTATTGAAGCCTGGTGAAACAGTTAACAATGATCGTTATCGACAACAAATGATCAATTTACACCACGCATTGATCGAAAAACGTCCAGAATGGGAGGGTAGACACGGTAAAATGATTTTACAGCACGATAACGCGCCGTTTTATACAGCAAAAGCGGTCAAGGAAGCTTTGAAAACACTTGGATGGAAAATATTATCACACCCGCCGTCCTCTCCAGACCTTGCCCCGTCCGACTACCAACTTTTTGCATCAATGGGATACGCACTTGCAGAGGAGCACTTCGCCAATTTCGAAGAAGTTAGAGAATGGCTGCATAAATGGTTTCACGCAAAGGACAAACAGTTTTTTTGGGATGGCATTCATAAATTGCCTGAAAGATGGGCAAGATGTATAGAAACAAATGGTCAATACTTTGAATAAATAAATATTTCCGTTTTCTTGAAAATTACGTAGTATTTTCTCGAAAAAACCGGTAATGACTTTCCGGTACACCTGATATGCTCCGATGGAGGTCCAAAAGAGAGCCGACAAAGAGGCGACTGGCTCTCTCCCGCCAAATCCTTTGTTTTGCTGGGAGTCAGTCAGCTTTGTCAGTGTTAGTCAAGCTTTGATGATGCGAGCAACGTTTTCTTAATTTTTTTTTTCCGATACCGTAATTTATACTGAATGGATACTGCAGTAAATCGTGATCTCTTTCTTGAAAAGTTAAATGCATTAATTGCGGGTAAACGAGAAGACAATTGTTTTTATTTTTCTCAAGAAAAGTACTCTAAAATACTTTCTGAAGTGGTTTCTGCTAAAACTAAGTGCAACACACCTTTGGATTACAGACGATTAAAACGTCTTAACGTTTTAAAAATGAATGATGAAAGGGGATTAATTGTGCCATTAAAATCAGGGAAAACGAATATACGGTATTATGTTACCAATGAAGAATTATTCAGTATACTATATGAAACTCACACCAGAATAGACCACGGAGGAAGAACAGGTACGTTTAGAATGTACTATGTGTTTTAAATTTTTGGTTACTCCTCTCAGAAAAAGAGGCGCAAAAGTTACGTCACCCTTATGACGTTTTATAGCGACTGAATTACGGAAAAGAAAATATAAATCTCCGAAATGTTCAACATTCACTATCAGCGCATGGTGAATGTCGACATTTACCGGTGTAAATCAGAAATAAGGGTATTCAGCAAATATTTCGGACATACACCAAGCGACTATGTGAATGTTGACATTCACCGGCGAAAGTCGACATTCTCCAGATTTCGGTCTTTCACGGTAACATATATATGTAGGATGGGAGCAAGAAGATTAGACAACGGATTAAAGTAATAGTAGAAATTTAATAATACATAAGGAATACACAAAATTAAAGTTTATGATTATAGTTAACGTTTCCACGGTTCGGTCAAGACTCTCTCGCTTTCGACGCTGTCGCGCTTTTATATATTATATAATTCGCACTCTTTTG